AAGGCCCAGTGCGAAAGTGCCACGTCGGCGGCAAACTGCTACGGATGAAACACGCACTCGACATGCCGAAACGGAGTGGCAGTGTCGGCAAGCGAAAATTGTCGTACGCAACGCCGACGTCGAAGCCAAGCGTCAGCGTAAAGTGCACGCGCCGGCTGCGAACAGACGACGCGAGTGTGATGCGGGTTCTTGTTGCTGATTTGTTTTTCTCCCGGGCTGAGCCTCAGAGAGTTTTGTTAATAAGGACAAAGCCGTTCGGTTTCCAAGAAACACACAAAAAGTTTAATCGAAAAGTAAAAAGGCAAAGATTCCTCACAAAACAAAACACTTAATAAACAGTTGACTGGACATGACGAAACACATCTGTAAACACCCAACAAGAACGTTCAAAGTCAGTAACTAAACCTAACGTTCGAAAGGGGCTGAGTGATGGGAGTAGCGCAAGAGTATCGGTGCAGTCTCACCCACAAGTTGGTTTTCGGCGGTGATGAGAAACCGGAACGCCGTGACTCCTGCGTCAGTGCGTGGGCTGGACGAGGACGAGGGAACGCTGGCTGCTGGCGACACGTCGAAAAGCCCTACCAAATCGTGATGGTTTCGGCTTGAGGAGCGTGGACACGTCGGAGACGGGAGAACGCAGGCTGGTGGCGACGCGTCCGGGAACTAGGGTCGACCTAGTCAAGCAGCTGGGCGCACAGCTCGGGCCCGGAGCCCGACGGCTGTAGCTCGCCTGCCGGAACCAAAGTCCGCAGGCCCTGGAAAGGAGTTCAGGACCGGATGGCCACGGTCCTTTGGAGCGGGAACCCGACAGCAGGAGGCCCCGGCCGGTGGAAGTCCTGTAGGCTCGGGTCCGGAACCCAACGGCCCATCTTCAGCGCCCGGTCCGGTGACGACCTTCCGCTTGCACTGCCTGCCTCGAATTCCCCTTGCTCTGGTCTCCCCAGGCTCCTGCTTCAGCTCTGGCCCACTTGTCTCGTTCTCATTGGAGATACTACTGTTTCGTGGTGTCAAGCCATTGGGCCTTGAAATCTCCGTGTTCGCTGCCCATTGGATGTTTTACCTTTTGTTTACTTCACGTCCTGCCACGCATCCTCGTGCTTGACGCTCTTTAACGTCGTCATTCTTGTTTAAGCAGCACCGCACGTGCACTCTGGTATTTCTCCTTTTGTTTTTTTTTTTCCGTGACGCGCACTTTTCGAAGGCGCGCACTTTGAACGCGCACCACACATCACATACGCCCCCCTTTTATTCAAGTTTTTTTTTTTTAGAAAAAAAAAAACTGCCGATGAGTGCGCGTTCTGCACTACGTCACAATTAAACCACATATTTGCACCACGCAGTTCAACACATCACCGGGCTACAGTTCGCTACATCGTCCAAATGTCCACACTTAAACTTTAGATTCACCCAATTGCATTTAAAAGTTCTGAAACCCGGAATAAACCTTTTTACTACAAAATCGACTATGGACAAAGCTACTTGTGTCCGCATCTAAAAGTCGAAGTCCAGAAAGAGCTACCGGTTTTCTAACCCTACACTCAGGTTATCGCGTCCCAAACCAGACGCACTGCCCTTCTCGCACGTTTCGAAAGTAACTGTGGCAAACATGCTTTTATGCACTTTCGCTGAAACGCGTGTCTGCGCCCCCGCCGGCCACATGAACGCTTACCGGTCACAGAGGAACAGGGCGCGGTCTCGAGTCGTCGGCGTCGACACGAAACGCACTGAGACACGAATGTCCAAATGCCACAATCTCTCACACAAATGCTTTCTTTTAGTTCACCATCTAATGAACACAAGCTCGGGGTGCCCTCAGCAAGCCCAAACGCTCCGACAAGCGTGTGAGGTTCCTGGATTCTTGAGAAGGGATGCCGTTGTGCTCGGTCATTATACAGCTCATCTTGAGTGGACTTAATTATAGGTTCAAAACCAATCACGTTCTCAGGTTCAAGACCCTGTCTGGCATTCTCCATACCTACTATCGAGCCCACCTCCGATTCGATACTGTTTATTTTGAAGAGTGCTTCAGCACTCCCATCGTGTTTTCTCGGACAAATAGCAGTTACGTTATCCTGTGAACTAGAATCCCCTCTCTCTCTGAGTGAGATATACGTATGGTCTAGGACCATTGACGTGGTGCCTGCTGCTACCTCTGTCGGTACAAAACAATCAGTGGCCACTATATCAGAGCCTTCATGGCATTCGCTGCCATCTTCCCAATGACGTTCTAGCGCTCCTTCCATGGAGCTATTGAGAGGTAGCCCTACCCCTTCCCGAAATGTGCTCGGCCTCTGAGACGTTCTGATACACACCTCATTCTGAATGGAACTTCTTTGTTCCCTGCTATCGAAGCTTTGCTCCACAACATTTTCCACAGCTTCTAGGTCGCCCATATCCAGGCGCTCTTCTTCATAGGTGCTTGGCCTCTCAGAGGTCCCCAAGCAGCTAACGGAAGTAATATGTTCCCAGCCAGAGAAGCTTTCCGTCGCTTCAACAAACTCCTCATGACTCCTGCCTTCTTGGCTGTCCACCTCTCTGCCTTCCTCTATCTGAGCTTCTCGCTCCGAAGTAAGGCTGTCGCGAGGCTCGAGGCCAACCTTGCAGGAATCGACTTCCCTCCAGCAAACGCTGCTATCGGAGCAAACATTCACCGCTTGCTCGACCTTCTGCATCGCCAGCTGCCCCCTTTTCGCCATCGCAAGCTCGAGTCGCCGCTCGAAGTCCACCCTCTCTAATTGGAGCTGCTGCTTCAGTATGCGTGTCTGACGCTCTAGCAACACTTTATTTTCACGCGTTACGCGCTCTAGCTCCTCCTTCTTAGCTCTAAGCACCAATTCAAGCTTTTCCTTCGCCGCCTTTCGTTCTGCAGCCCGTTGCTCACGCTCCCTCTCCATCCGCTCCTCGTACCATACTCTAAACTCCGCTCCCGTCAGTCCCATTTTATCCGCCAACTCAATTAACTCCCACGTGTTCGTCATCGTGTTAACCGCGTCAAAAAATCTACTGGAAAAACAAACGACTTTGTCCTGTCGCGGACGCCAATTTGTGATGCATGGTTCTAGTTGCTGATTTGTTTTTCTCCCGGGCTGAGCCTCAGAGAGTTTTGTTAATAAGGACAAAGCCGTTCGGTTTCCAAGAAACACACAAAAAGTTTAATCGAAAAGTAAAAAGGCAAAGATTCCTCACAAAACAAAACACTTAATAAACAGTTGACTGGACATGACGAAACACATCTGTAAACACCCAACAAGAACGTTCAAAGTCAGTAACTAAACCTAACGTTCGAAAGGGGCTGAGTGATGGGAGTAGCGCAAGAGTATCGGTGCAGTCTCACCCACAAGTTGGTTTTCGGCGGTGATGAGAAACCGGAACGCCGTGACTCCTGCGTCAGTGCGTGGGCTGGACGAGGACGAGGGAACGCTGGCTGCTGGCGACACGTCGAAAAGCCCTACCAAATCGTGATGGTTTCGGCTTGAGGAGCGTGGACACGTCGGAGACGGGAGAACGCAGGCTGGTGGCGACGCGTCCGGGAACTAGGGTCGACCTAGTCAAGCAGCTGGGCGCACAGCTCGGGCCCGGAGCCCGACGGCTGTAGCTCGCCTGCCGGAACCAAAGTCCGCAGGCCCTGGAAAGGAGTTCAGGACCGGATGGCCACGGTCCTTTGGAGCGGGAACCTGACAGCAGGAGGCCCCGGCCGGTGGAAGTCCTGTAGGCTCGGGTCCGGAACCCAACGGCCCATCTTCAGCGCCCGGTCCGGTGACGACCTTCCGCTTGCACTGCCTGCCTCGAATTCCCCTTGCTCTGGTCTCCCCAGGCTCCTGCTTCAGCTCTGGCCCACTTGTCTCGTTCTCATTGGAGATACTACTGTTTCGTGGTGTCAAGCCATTGGGCCTTGAAATCTCCGTGTTCGCTGCCCATTGGATGTTTTACCTTTTGTTTACTTCACGTCCTGCCACGCATCCTCGTGCTTGACGCTCTTTAACGTCGTCATTCTTGTTTAAGCAGCACCGCACGTGCACTCTGGTATTTCTCCTTTTGTTTTTTTTTTTTTCCGTGATGGTGCGTCGGCCGGGAACTAGGGTCGACCTAGTCAAGCAGCTGGGCGCACAGCTCGGGCCCGGAGCCCGACGGCTGTAGCTCGCCTGCCGGAACCAAAGTCCGCAGGCCCTGGAAAGGAGTTCAGGACCGGATGGCCACGGTCCTTTGGAGCGGGAACCCGACAGCAGGAGGCCCCGGCCGGTGGAAGTCCTGTAGGCTCGGGTCCGGAACCCAACGGCCCATCTTCAGCGCCCGGTCCGGTGACGACCTTCCGCTTGCACTGCCTGCCTCGAATTCCCCTTGCTCTGGTCTCCCCAGGCTCCTGCTTCAGCTCTGGCCCACTTGTCTCGTTCTCATTGGAGATACTACTGTTTCGTGGTGTCAAGCCATTGGGCCTTGAAATCTCCGTGTTCGCTGCCCATTGGATGTTTTACCTTTTGTTTACTTCACGTCCTGCCACGCATCCTCGTGCTTGACGCTCTTTAACGTCGTCATTCTTGTTTAAGCAGCACCGCACGTGCACTCTGGTATTTCTCCTTTTGTTTTTTTTTTTTTCCGTGACGCGCACTTTTCGAAGGCGCGCACTTTGAACGCGCACCACACATCACAGCGAGTCGAATGCCCGTGCAGGATGCCTCACTAGACGACTACAACGTTCGGGCTTCGATGGTGCCGACACCACTAAGTAACATTAATTACCACGAAACACTAAATACTCAGCACTAACGGAAATATTAACGGAAACACCCACTCAAACTGATACAAACGTGGAGTGCATGCACCCACTGTTCTTCTCATCACTTTATGGTCGCCTTTAGCGGGAGATGAAGTAATTTTTAATTATCGTGACATTTTCTTAATTATACTTTTCTTGTTGTTTTTTCAGTTTCTGTGCACGCATGAGCCAATATGGTTATACAACACCACATTAAGCGCTCATCGCGACTGCGAAGTGGATCAAATGAAGATGATAAACAGACTTTCCGTTATTCTGATGCGATCTTACTACGAAAACAAAGCGAAGTATTCGAAAATTCTTGCTATACTTTAGGTATTCTTTGTTGACACACCCGCATCTCTTTTCAGGGTTTCTGTGTATATACAAGGAATATTTGATCCAAGTGATAAAAATCGCATGTTTATTACAATTCCACGTGAAGCAAAAGGTAGTTCTTCTGTATTTGAAAAAAACCTTTTTGTAGTTGCTTACCAACTTGTTGAATTTTAGTACTGTGCATGCCTTGTGACGAGATGTGTAGTTGGCGAGTAACATCAATTTATAATTTTGCTTCAGTTAGAAACGTCATACTGGCTATAAATCAACATGAACTTTGCAAACTGAAGCTTATAGAAAACGATACAAATGTAATATTCGAATTTTGCGACAATAGATTCTGTAATATATGAGTAGCTGGTTGAAGGCTATTTTGATATTGTTTTGCTATTCGTGGTAAAGTTAATGAAGTGTGGATTGTAGCGCAGCATAGAATAAACTGGCATCGTCAGAACGTATCAAGGGAGACACATTATAATGTGCTTTTCCAAAAACGTCTAATTTTATTACAACACTTTTCTGTTGATTAAGGTGCACTAAATGCATTTATTATTTACTTTTCAGCGATTGTGCAGAGCGTTACAGAAGAGGTGATGTATCTGAGTAAGAAGTCAAGATGTGCAGTTATTAGGATTACAGTACTTCCAGGTCAGTTTGGCTATACACTGACGTCGCGGCATATACGAGGACTGTCTGTCGTTTTAATTGTTGCTTTTACAGCGAAAGCTGTTATGAGATCACAAATCGGTACACGCGCACCAAAGAAACAGTGGAGCTCGAAACCCGGGTCTGCTGGGTGCCAACCAGTATTCTACCACTAAGCAACGCTGGTGCTTTTGACTTGTTGGAAAACTTGCCATAGTCAGGCTTGATGTCGAAAAAGTAATCGTGTTAGTACGACTTATAAAGCGTTTTAAAACAGCAAAAGAACAAGCAGTCATAACAAAATGCGAATAGCGTAACTAGTAGGCCGTCTAATGCTCCAACTCATTACAAAAGCTTCTTCTTGTTCCCGTATTAACTATGGCGCATACCCACTCCAGCCATAATTCCTCATCGTCGCCAGCCACTGCATGAACAATAGGCCCGAAATTCCTTGAGAGTATTTAGCGGATACCACGCTTCTTAGACAAATGACGAAAAATAGCAGAGCGAATGCCGGCCTACTACCCAAAAGTTTATTATTAGAGAGCTTTAGTTTAGCGCAAGCAAAGCGGTACGTGCGCAACGGCTATCTCGCTACGTACATCACAGCTGAGGCTGCTTTTTACAGTATAAATTTAGCGTATGTGGCATCGGACACATATACTGCGTCTAGGCATCAACACATTCCTCTTGGAGTGCTACTTGGTGCCACCTAGTTACGGAGCAATTAACTACAATAACCAACCATATATAATTTACGTGAGTCAAGACATGAGACATGAAACTGCGGACATTCCGGGCGTTGAAGGCATCCCTGTCAGCTCCTGTAGTTTCAAAGCGATAACTGGCCACTGCACGGGGTCCGTGAATGAAATTAAACTCCTCACGTAAGCAAGGAGCTCCAAATCGAGGGCAATCGTAAAATTCACGCGGGATTTACTCGCAGCCATGACCCCACTGCTGCTTGTGCTGCTGTTGGTCGCGGCCACCTTGGTTTTTGTGCTCTCACCAGGGGGAGATCTCGCGACGGCCGCTGCTGAGGTACCCAATGGCTGTAGCGTGTGCAACGTAAGAGCCGAGATCCAGTGTACGCATCCCTCGCGTGCGCCAATGTAGGCATCTCTCTTACGTACAGCGCATGCGCAGCCGTGCTCTCTCTCGGGTGATGCGTGCGCTAGGCCGTTGCGCGCGCTAAACTAAAGCTCTCCCTTAATACCCTAGCGGGTAGCAAGCAAGTGTCCTTGCAGTAGTTATCCAATGAGTGTTTTGAAAATGCTCTGAAAGGCCGCTCTTCTAGCTTTCGCTGTGACGGTGCTCCGCCTTCCGCGCAGGCCTGACTTTTTTTTTTACGGTCACAAGCGGTTATAGAGATCGGTGTTGTACAGTGAAACAAGGTTTCTAGATGGTCCCTATACCTACAATTATGTGCCCGTTTAGGTGCCAAGTGAAGGTGCCGCAGTCCCTTTCTACGGTGTGCTCCATAAACTTGTCGTGGTTTTGGGATGTAAAACTTGCAGTATGCCTATTATTGTTAGTAGGAGTAGCAGTAGGCTAGCCAACCGTGCATGTGGCTGGTTAAACTCCCGACCTTCTGTTATTATTATTATTATTATTATTATTATTATTATTATTATTATTATTATTATTATGAGTGCTGTGTGCCGAATTCCTTGACTATCCGAAGTTCTTCAACGGGTGCCTAAATATATGTTTACGAGAGTTGGTATACTATGCCTTCACTAGAAATGCGCCTACCTCAAGAGGGAATGAAGACAAGATTGATATTGCCGGGCTCTGCACCACAACGTCTCTCATAACCACATCCCACTTCTCGACGTAAAACCACAAATCCTATTATAATCAGGAATAAATTATCCTCTCACGGAGCTTTTCTTCTCTATGATGTCAGTGCTAATCTACCACGGTGGTTAATAATGAGTACTACGGGGCATCACAAATCTCGAGAAGAAAAATGTGCTTGCTCGCATATATTGAGTGGCAGATATAAAATGCTGAAGTCTAGACAAGAGCCAGATATACCTCGGCCGATCACTATGTTTGCGAACATCGAGGTGGGGAGCTTTCCCGGAACTTTCTATCTAACGTACGTGTCCGCGTCATTTTAACGTGATGAAAGCGCGTTCTGCTGCTGCTGCTGAAAAAAAAAGCCAAGCCGCACTGACCCAGAAGTTTAAAGCGGAATTGTGCCCTAAACTTAATTGGAGAGCTCACGCGATAACAAAATCGCAGTTATTTTACAGGCTTACAGATGTTCCAAGCCAAGAGCAAACCTCAAGGAGACGTGCCCGCCAATTTTAAGCACATTCACTCTCACTCACGCTTGTTGGTACTTGTGGAACCTCCTTCATGTCGAAATGGCGCTTCAGATATAAAAGAAATGCAAGAACATATGTGCGCTATTTTTGAAGCTCCCGCAAATCAACCGCGGCCTGAATGGGCACTTTGGGAATACTGTTTCGTAGTGTGTCAGAAACGTGGGCTTGCAGGGCACGTTAATTACACGATACCACTTAGATGCCAATGTTACGTTACACTTTTGTTTAATGTCAGAATTGGCGTGTCGCCGAGTATAAATACCCACACCAGCGCACTGACGACCTTGTCAGAGTATGCATTGAGTAAATTTCTTGCGTCATCAGGCGAAGCCAGGTGATATGCGACAACGTTAGAGTGGAATAGACATTTTAGGTGCAAAGCGTTTTAGGGTCGAGCGCAATCCAGTGTGCAGCATATTCGAGTCCCCTCCGCCCCCTCTTTCCTCTCGTAAGCACCCCCCTCTCCAGCATCGCAACGCCGACGCAGACAGCGCTTGCTAGCTTACGCTCTCTTCCCCCTCTCTCTCTCCTCTAGACATGTAATAGTGTAATTTTAATTTATTACGTTGTGTCAACGGCTGAGTTAAATGTGCCCAAGAGTTGCTGAGGCTTCCGTTGAGCGGATTTTTAAATAAAAGGTATACACGTGAAGGTAAAGGAACCTCGACTATTTATGACTGTGCTCGGCGACAACTTATATTGATATTGGAGTGCAGGCTGTGAAGGCGGGACTTCCACACATTCGCGTTCCCTAGCAAGTATTATGGCAGCTCACGGCTGGTTTGGTTTCGCTCGCTTGCATTGTAAACGCGTTAAAAATAAATTTACAAAAATTTGAATGGGACAAACATTTCGATAGCTCAGTGTACGTTTTAGTGTTGTATCAAGGTACGTATATGTAAACTGGTAACGTAACTTTCATAGAAGCCCACGGATACAGCAGATGGCGGCTTCTTGCCACCGTCACCATGAGTTTGTACGCAGCGGCTAAATAACGCGAAACGAAAGTTAAAATAAATGTAATATGACATCACAACTGGAAGTGGTAGTGACGTCGGGCATACATGGCGCGAAATATTCTTCTTTTAACTGCTGACCTTTTACGTTCTGTTACTACTACGCAATAATCGTGAGCCTTGCGGCTCACTAATGGCATGCGAGAAAAGAAAAAAATGCAAAGAAAAGAAACATTGATGAAGCAACGTCGTCCTATTAGCCAAATGGCGTACTTACAATACACAAAAAAAACTCACAGATGGAATTGTGACACAACCGTTCACGAACACAATAGCATATTAGTTCGAAAATTCACGTTGCTCGATCGACAAAAATTACTGCAGCGAGACAGCAGCTTTGAGAATGTAGCTTTGAAAACTGCAGAGTGCAGCGTCTCGTTGCTTAGCATGTCGCATTGACAATCACCAAACGCGAAGGCACGCCAGCCGTGCGCCAGCGAAAGCAGTCGGCAGTCACAGCAGCGGAAGTCTGCACATTCTGTCAACTAGGGCAGCTCGGAAACGTCACACTAGTAAACGGCACATAAGCAAATAAGTATACCACGGAAGGTACGCAAGAAACCACCACGGAGATGTGACCGATGCCTTGCTCACCGGGCAATGCGCCGAACCAGAAAACAAACCGAGCACAAGTTCCGATAGCAGATTGTCTGGATACGCCCACTACCCTCACTTATGGCACTCGACAAAAAATTGAGGCAATCAACCAATTTTCAAGGCGTCAGATGCACCGTAAAGTAAGTTTGTAGTTAACTTTGACGTATACCAGATTACGACTCTTTGAACAACCTATTATATTGAGTTTTTAGTTTTGGTTATTTTGTCCCTCCTCTCCTAGTCGCGCTTCAATCGTCAGTGGGCGTTCTTGGTTGTAGCACTCGATTTTCGACACTTTTCGTTACAAGTTCCGCGACCAATGTAATTTAACTATGCTTGTATTATGAGTACAGGAAACCCCAAAGCGTGCTTTCGCAGCACAATCAACCACTACGTCATGGTTGCTAGGTTGACTTTTGAAAACGTGTGCGCTGAAAATTGGCTCTGTCTACGAACGAAGGAAAAGGAAGGCACTCCTGAAAAGTGAACAATACATGTGTTTTACCAACGACTTGCCCCATCTGTTTCACCCTCGTGATAAATAAAGCAGTACTTCGGTGCCATCACTTCTACTCGGCAACAAGTTTTATGGAGAGCATGCTCTCAAGAAAAGTTGTCGCCCAGTATAGGGGCGATATTTCTAGCTGAAAAGACAACTTGTCATGTTATCGGCGTTAAGAACTTCTGCTACAGAACAGCTATTATGGTCGAGTTCTGCGTGTAGCGTATATTAAAAGTGATTGTTATCACAAACCGGAACGCGCTAAGCCACCATCGATGCACACGGTATAAAGGGTTAACAGGTTATGCTGCAAAGTGCGGACCGCTATTAATGTTCACCTGCAGTAATTTTCCATGTTTTTTTTTTCAGACCAGTGAGATAGTACTTTCTCAATGTTTTTGGCACATACGCGCTATATATCAGTTACAACAGAACTGCTGAGGCCGAGATTGGCCTGCAGGTACCGTAGTAAAAAGATATATAAGCATAACAGATCAAGCAAGTGGTGGTTATTAATAAATTATAGTGTAGAAACGGATGGCAAAAAGGCAGCATAGTGGGTAAAAGCCTCGCAAAGTCGGGACGAGCTAGATGCCCACCAGCTGTGCTGCCACGAAGTCTTGTAAGGCTCCTTCAGTCTTTCCGGTTATTTTGTTACATTTTGATCTTATGTTTTCATTAAGAATAAACATAAAATAAAAATCACCTTGTATTTTCTTTCTTTCTAGGTCTTGAATCTGCAGGTAAGTCATAAATGCACATGACATAACACTAAATTATTTGCTATAGGTTAAGTGTTCATACACATAGGTGGTCTCGAATACAATTCATGCCGTGAAAATTTCGCAACAATCTAGAGCTAACAATACAGCAGAGTAGTTAAACGCTGAAGAAGTGTGTCCTTAAAACCGCAGACCAAGATAAGTAGTCTTTTTATAATGGCACTCACTCCTCAAGAACCTGAACAGTTGTTATGTGTTATGATGAGCATGGTATTTTTACCTGTTTCGCTTTCTTTTAAGTTCACAGATTAATACAAGCTGAACGCATTATGATTACAATCTGGTCCTCACGTAATGCTGAAGTTGGCGACCAGCATCAGCATAGGACTCTCCACAAGTTTTCAGAATGCAGTGAACTCATTCACTCAATGCTCACAGTCATGCCAAATATTTTACTTTCGTCGCATTTTTCTTCCGTAGTGGGAAGGTATTTTAAAGCAGCACGTCCGACATATATGTTGCGACCTAACAATTATCGACTGAGCAATCTTGGCATCCGCACACATCAGCTGACGAGTAGTAGCTATGCCACGCAGTCTGTACTTTATATCATAGGACCCACACAGCTTTTGATAATGCAGACGACGTAAAGTTAATGGGGCGGGAAGAACTAAACTCTGTTTAACAGCTGTGCATTGAAACAAGCGAATTTATTTTCTGGGAGCTCATCGTAATGAAAAGGCTGCTCTTATCGACTCAGGAAGAACGGAGCGAATACGCTCTAAGTGGTTCTCATAATCAGTCTACTATGACTACCAAGGACATAGATGACTATTCAAAATTTAAGGTGGAAGTTCTGTGCATAGACAAAGGAGGACACATTTGAGCTGTTGATGTCGCTGAAATTTTCATCATTTTTGCCTAAATAATTACATACAGAATGTCTCACATAACCTGAGCCAAGAACTTGAAAGTGAAAGGCACTTAGGAGGCAAATTCAACCAAGCGCATACTAGTCGCACTAGCCTGTAGGTACTCATGCTATTATTTATTTCCCCCCATACTAATTGATTATTATTCTTTATTACATACTTTTTAGAATTATGGGCTGGAAACCAAAATATGAATACTGAGATGTAGAGCACTTTCAGAAACCATGAACTAAATTGTTTCCTGTATGATACGTCTCACGCTGATATCTTTTTCACGTTGTAAAGAAATTCCGCGAAACGTGAAAAGAAGCCGTGAGACGGACCACGAGCGCACTGCTATAGAGCTGATATAGGCTTTCTTTACAACGCAGAAAAAATAACAGCGCTAGACGTATCACACAACAAACAATTTTGTCGGTGGTTTCTGAAAGTGCTCAATTAACTCCTCAGTGTTCATATTTTGGGTTCCTAGCCCATAATGTTAAAAAATGTAATTAAAATCATAATCTATTAGTATGGGGAGAAATAAATATTAGCCTGAGTACCTAAAGGCTTGTGCGAGTACTACGCGTTTGGTTCAATTCGCCACTGAAGTGTCTTTTATTTTCAAATTTTTGGCTCAATTTATGTGGGACACCCTGTATATTCTTTACCAAACATGGCAAATACATTGTTGAAATTTTCTATTAGCATTACGCATCTTACGACGTGGGCTTCTAGAAGGGGTGAAAATGATCTACACCACCGCACATTTCATTGATGCGCTTGCTGACACAACAGTTAAAGGGGTGGTGCCATTAAATTTCGAGGCTAAGAAGAGCCTCTTCTGGGTTTCCTCTGGACGCTTGGACACTCCACACGAACTCGCGGACACAGCAAACGTGCACAATCTATTGTGATTCACCTCCAAAATTCACTCTAGGCAACAAAAGTTGTCTCGAGTGGTACGGACCTGTAGCTAGCGAGTGTAAACGTGCGCAGTTTTCCGCTTCAGGGACACGAAGGTTCATTGCAGTGCACCCCCACCCTATTATGTCAATATATGAGTATAACTTCAGGCCCCCTCCCTGATTCTCACAGCCCCCTCCTTATTATGCGAATGTGTGTGGGGGGGGGGGGCTGTGTTTGCATACCCCTTCGTAGGTGCCTATGGGAGAGCTCGCCTCTTTGCATCTTCCCATGCACACGCATATCGTGGTGAGGTGAGTGACCTCCGGAGACTTCCGCCACGTACGTACCAGCAAAGCATCGCGGCTGCCACAGGTTTGTTTTGCAGGTGCTTCTGCAACACGCCTGTGTGAGAAAGCCCGCGAGAGCACATGATAGTCAGCACGACGTGTGTTTATTGCGTAATTATCAAATATCACAGTATTTATACAATATCGCAATTATAGAATATCACAGTATTATTGCCGTGGCTAGCTGCGTTCTAACATAAATCGGCATACTCGTGTGGCATGTCCAATCTTATCAAAAATGTCTAAAACACCTGAACAGCTTCTCATGCAATACGGCGTGGCATGTGTCAAGTGGTGACTAAAGTTTTTGTTTGGTAAACCAAAAGAGTGCAAGTGCAAAATAATGCAAGCCTAAAGAGTGCAAATCAGAAGAGAGCGAGACGTCATGTATGTCTTCATCCTAAGCGTGTAGTCAGAAATGTTTTTGGGGGAGCCACCTTCTTCGTTTAGAAAGGGGCACCTTCTTGAAATGACCATTTTTCGCACTCTATGCCACCGCACAAAAAAATTTCCAGAGAGAGGGGGCACGCACCGAATGTGCCACCCACTGCCTGGACCCATGCTTCATCACCATAAGAAGTTTGCCTGCAGTTGAGTCTGTCAGGTGCGTTATTCACTTCCATAATCAACGACTTAATCATGATGCTCAGGGTGCATATTATCACGAATTATCAATGCAAAAGCCAGATGTGCCCCTTAAAACGTCTGAATTTATCCTGGGCGTCACCAGCATCACGGTAACGAAAAGTGAAGCAAAAATCACGTTTTCGAGATGACGCCGCCATATGACGTCACCATGTGGGCACAGATCCTCCAATCAGTGACGGCATCATCAAGTCACTATGAAGTCCCATAACGAGCAATCTTGTCTTGATAAAAGGTGGGGCGGAGCATGGAGGTAATGTAAAAGAAGGGGAGGTTCTCACGGCTTGTATTGCCTCTTATAATGAAGGCTCTTCAAAGCTTGGTTATAGGGGCGTACGGGTTTCAGAGTTCAGTAGGAATCAATTCTTAGACAAAAAGGAAAAAAAATTACACTTATCCTTCGAGTCGTCTCAGGTAAATTCATATGGCGCCCTGTGACTTTTCACTAAATTATTTACTGAAATCTCGCTTGTTGACGGTTCTGCTTCGAAATATTGATTATTGTACATAATTGACATCACCAACATGCTAAAGATTCCGTTAGTTGCTATGACTGTCATCATCATCACCATACAAACACTCTTGCTCGCCGTCAGCTTTGCCAGCGCGTTCATTTGCATCGTTATCTTTATTGATGACCACCCCAAACAAGTTATCATCATGCCAAAGCTGAAAGGTTTTACCTCATAATCAATACAGTTCAGCAGGCTTCGGCTTGCCCAACGTACTACTTAAATGCGTTGATCAAGGAAGCTATAAAAAACACAACATCTACTACCGCGATAGGCAACTAAACATTCCTAATTGTATCTATTCATAACAAAGTGCACATCTGGAATAAATCAAATAAACTGTCAACGACGCTCCTATAATGTGTTATTTGTATATAGCCCTAATATGTACAATTTAGTGTGAGGAGCAGCGCGGCTGTGAAGCAGGACTTATGATCGCAAAGGGGTTGTTTTAACGTTTTACAAGAACTGCGAAGGTCCGGCGTGCACAAATGAAAATTCCACTGCGAAAACTTGTTACAAAAACTTGGTCGCACGCAGGGCAACAAAAATTACACAAAAGAAAACATAAGCGCTTCTTTTGCAAATACCCTATGCAATTCCAAACCGCTTATGTATTTGGGGTGACCTTTGCTTTAAAATATGTAGGGGCATGACCATAGGAGAAAACATATCTTTTTTTGAGAGCGGCCATATGTCCACCTCATTGATGTAGAGGCTAACTTGCTCAGATTCGCACCCTAAGGTGGCGTGTTAAATTGCAGCTGTAACGGCAGCCTTTCGATAAACGCGACATGCTAGAGGCCCGTCTACTGTGCGATTAGAGTGCACGTTGAAGAACACCAAGGGGTAAAAATTTCCCGAGCCCTCCACGACGGCTACAATTGTAATCATATCAACGTTTTTGGACATAAAATCTGACCAATATTATAACAGTCATATGAACGTATTCGTTATGCATACCAGAGAAATTCTCAACTCTTTTATCAATTTTTTAGGCAAGACATTTAAGCACCACAGATAACACTGCGATGCCTCTCGTTCTTCAAGTTCTTCAAGTATGCTTCCCTATTATAAATTGTAAGCTCATCTGTAGACAATAAATTAGAATATTCCAGAGGACGGTACTTTTTCAGGCATTTTTGTTGTTGCAGGAATGTTTATGTTCAATAAATGCTTTCTATTTTAAGAGACTCAAACCAATCTTTCACGGTGATCCTGAAATGAAACGAATTGCTGGTTCAAACACAAGCAATGCATCATGCAGACTCCCTCCGCTGGAACCAGCACCGCTTCATTCTAGTTCAACTTAACGAATGCGTATGCTGTCAGGTAATCGGGGTATATGCATGGTGCAGAAGACTGCAATCAGGCTCCGGCATATTTTCTATACTGCACCTTGGACCATGTTTCCAATTACTTTGCTGGAACAAACCACCGCCTTCGCCCCTGCAAGAAAAACTCATTCTGTTAATACTGACCATTATGCGATGGCCATGCTCTTGGCATGTATCGAAACTATGTTCTAAGTTACTTTATTTCTTCTTTTAGGTCCCGAACTCATCTACGACCTCCGAGTTCGAAACTCCTCCTTATCGCGTGGACCTAGCAAGGGATGTATAAAGAATTTCGAAAAGCTCGCTCGATCGTCTTTTCGGGTATATCAGCCAAGTTGTCAAGACATACTCAGCACGAAGGTTGAGCAACAACTTATCATTCAAGGAAAACAAGTACCAAAAAAACACCATCTCCGTTAGATTTCTGTCCCTGCACCTACTTTTGTACTTAAGGACTGTTGGAGGCCATTGTAGCACATCCAGTATATATCTACCTACGCAATGAAATGAACTGAGTGTCAGCATATTTACTGTTTCACACTCACCGTAATGGCTCCTGGCGTCCGTGGCTGATGCTCGCACATTTATATACACATATATACCCTAAATATAGACAGAGGGGTGAATGTTACCGTATCTCAGTGGAAGAGCATTGGACGCGTAATTCGAAGATCACAGGGTCAGCTCTTGCTGGCGGCAAGTTATCTTTCAGTCCGCGTTTCTTTCTTAACATTCACATTACAATTACTACTATTGACATCCCCTATAATTTCCTCGGGATCATTGTCTGTTAGCCCTCATTACTATTATAAAAAAGAAATAAGCCATTCAAGTAACACGCTATTCACAAAACTCACAGTGTTTTCTAAGTTGTAAATGAAAAGCCCACAGCGCGCTAGTCGCGTTTCTCAGGATTACAAATAATGTTCCACTATCCATTCATCACTTACAGAAAAATGAACCTTAGAGCAGATAACTTCAATGGTTAGGTATTGAAAGTTACACTATTTATTCGTCACTGTTTGTTGCAAAATTAACAAGAAAAGAGCATCCTATGGAAAAATGTAGCTTAAATACCAGTAGATACTTGGGTCACTTGGTACCATGCACTTAATCAAAGATCACAAGGTGGGAGGCAATTTCTCATAGCTGTTCTCTTTTTTTTTTTTTTTGAAAATGCGCATACATAGATTGCGCGGTGGCAACTAATAAACCTGGTGGTGAGCTATCACTGTTGTGTGTGTCACTTTTTGCTCCGTCTTTTGCGCTGTTTTAAGTTCTGATAAATTGAGTGATTCTTACATTTCGAATGGTCAAGTATTTACATGCCTACTCTGCCCAAAAAAAAAACTTCTAGTCCATGCCTATGTGACCTCAAACGATCACTTCTATAATAAACAAAAAATGAGGTGATGAATACACTAGCCATGGAAAGGTTAAAAAACAGCAAAGCTGGTTGACCTTAGGCGCTTAACGTGGCTGCCTTGGCTGTTGCAAGGTCTTTTCTTGGTGTAGACAAAGTACAGTCGAACTGCAGTATGTCACAGACCATGCAAAAATGCCGGAACTCCTGCGCCAGAACTAATGCGCAAAGCTCGGTAGAAGCGCAGATCTTTAATCTATCGTACTTGGCTTACACGGCATGCAGGCAAGTTCAAAGCGCGAGACAGACGTGCGATTTTCTCTGCGATTCGGCGTGCGGTGCGACGATGCGACTGCCAGAGTGGTAACGTTTCGTGACGTTTCGTGACGTATCCTCGCGTCGCACCGCCGCATAGCCGGTGTGGCGAGCATCAAACCGGCCAGATATTTTCGTCGCAGCATCGCACCGCCGCATGGCAACAGCCAATCACAGCGCGAGCATACGAGTAACGTCACGATGCTAGTGGCGCCATCTCCCTCTCGCCGCTTCCATCACCCGTGTTCCAAGGCTCCAGGCGAGTCGATGGAGCGGTGCGAGCGTGGATTGCTGACATCGCCGACTGCGGCGGCGTGACAAACATCGAGTACGTTTGTTTCCTTGGTGACGTGATGTTATTCCGCATTGAATAAAGTGATGCTTGAAGTGTGCATTTCCGGCACGACAACTCCCATTTCGAAACCGCTAGGGAGATCGGAGATCGTGAGCAGCGATGCAAGGTCATTTCGCAGATAAACACAGCTACCAGCGTCTTTGCGATGGCTCGCTTCGCTTCCACCTTTGCTCTTCACATCGATGGCATCGATAAAGTAATAATGTATGCTAACGCATTACATACGAGCGCAATGCTTGATAGTGTTGTCAAAAACAAGCGCTCGACGATGAGCTCGCATGTGAACGGCGTAGGAGACCACTGATCTCCACTAGGGTTGCTGGATGGCGCTTCGCCGCTGTCACGGCCTGGCGCGCGCACGGCCACCGGAAGTTCAATGGCTCGTCCCGGAAGTTGAGCGTCTGCTACGCTTCTCAACCGCTGATCAGCGTTCCCATTGACGCATTTTGCATTTTGTTCTCACTTAATTGCATTTTGGTGATACACATCGCGTTCAGATCACAACTTATGCTATACCGAAACATGTGACGTTAATATGAAGCAGTTTACAATTGCGAAGGAGAACGAAAATGTCACTTAGGTATCGGTTCGAGAGGAGACGACGCAGCTCGAACGGGATTCATGCTGGCGAGTGGACTTTATGATTCGTGTTAGGATGCACGTCTTACAATAAATTAACAGTCATGAAGGGGCTTGTATAAGTCGAAAACAATAAATCAACAGCCGGGAAAGGCCTTGGATTATCGGAAAATCAACTAGCTGAGCGAGTTCGATAACAACGCGGAGGAAGCTGCCTGAAACAGAATAACCGACTTGATGTTTGCTACGTGCCGGCCAAAAAAAAAAAAAATCCTGAAATGGCTGTGCGCAGCTTGCTCCTGTTTTACTTTTGAAGGTTAGTACATCGGAACCCTTTACAATATGAATTCAAGCATATGTGTGTAACCAGCAGGTCAAAGTAAATTCTTTTAAAACGTGCTTTCTCATCATTGCTTGACAAAAGGTATCGCCCTTTCTCTTGAAGGAAAATTTCTAGCTTATGAACACATTTATTGCTAGTTTTCAGGGACACCCACCCATTGCGCACACGCAGTGCCTAATGCAAACTGGTCTATCCAGATTTAGGTTTGCCTAGTGATTACGGCTTCAATTGGACAGCCCCGCCGCGGTGGTCTAGTGGCTAAGGTACTCGGCTGCTGACCCGCAGGTCGCGGGTTCAAATCCCGGCTGCGGCGGCTGCATTTCCGATGGAGGCGGAAATGTCGTAGGCCCATGTGCTCAGATTTGGGTGCACGTTAAACAACCCCAGGTGGTCAAAATTTCCGGAGCCCTCCACTACGGCGTCTCTCATAATCTTATGGTGGTTTTGGGACGTTAAACCCCACAAATCAATCAATCATCAATTGGACATTTTAGTGTAACCCTTAAAGAATGATAAAGGAGGACGCGTGGAACTGCTTCATTCGAATTGAGAGGCCTGCAATTGTATGAAAAACTCATTTACTCAGAGCGTTTGTGCACGTGTCCTTGTTACTGACAATGCAGTGCCTGGAGATGGTTGGCAATAGTGCATGCAGGTTAATATTTAAGTATGCTTCCTGCCTCGCCATTGAAAACAAAACAGGCATACATGTACAAAGATGGATTTCACGTGTTTATTGTACTCGAAGCACTTAAGAACTGCCACGTCACGTCACTTCACTGGTGACTGAAAATAATCAACTCTGCAAGTCGCTTAAAGCACTTAAGTACTGCCACGTCACGTCACTTCACTGGTGACTGAAAATAATCAACTTTGCAAGTCGCTTGCGGATGTTTGGTCCTGTTATCTTTGCAGTAGCTTGCTTCGCGGCATGGTGCATCCTGATCTTCACGTAGCAGCCGATGACACATTTAACAAGACGCACAAAGTGGTTGGAGTCAACTGCTGATTCGAACATATGGCCATGCAGTTCCGGATAGAGCTTGTTCGTGCTCAGCACTCCCGAAAGTTCTGCCATAACCTTGGCTGTCACAGTGTCAGCTGCATTCTTTTTTGGAAGGCCTCCGTCGTGAACCTTCTCCTGCAGTCGAACAGCTTTTTCAGTCAGCTGACAGATGTACGTTGTCAATGACGACGGCTTGGAAAGACCTCCACGGTTTTTTCTGTTCAGGAGTGCCGAACCACATGTCTCGGCAATGGTGGCCGAGTAGCATACTGCGCAAGGTATTTTACGTTTGACCATTCGGCAAACAAACCCTGCGATGTAACCAACGACGTTTCCAAGGTACGGAGACAGTGCAGGGAGATCCTCAACTATGACATCCAGCTCGCTCTCGTCGGGTAGGTCTATGCCTTGCAAGAGGTCTTGTGTGCCGCTTTGCTTTGCTGTGGCCATGTCGAGCTCATCGTTGGAGCAAAACTGACTGCTCACGTACAGTATGCGCGTATTGTGAAGAGACTCACAGTTCCCTCGCCCACCCTTCACCTGGTTGTGTGTGACAAGTCACTTGTATGCCGCCACAAATTGTGAGACTGTGCGGTTGTTATTCCAGCCCCCTTTAGAACGCACAGCGGCAAAGAACAGTTCAATGTGGTCTTGTGAAAGCTTGTAAGTAAGAAGGTAACGGAGTGGAGCATTGTCCGAGAAGAGGAGCGCGGATGCCAGACCGATGACACTTTCAATGGTCACCAGAAATCCTAGAAATGGAGTTCTTCTGGGCGTCCTAAAAATGGGAACACCTGATCCGTCAGTCAGCCCCCGAATGTACTCCTTGACTTCTTCGAAGAAGTTCATCCAGGTTCCCTTGTTGCTAGGTCGGAGCGGCGCTTTGAAACCATTGGCTACTGGGTTGCGTGAATTGAGGAAATCAAACAGTTTATTGAACATTCGAATAAATTTCACAGTTCCTTCTGAATTTTTGAACTGTGGGAGTTGCAAGTCTTCACGACAAAAATCTATGGCGTCAGCCACACTAGTGCTTAAAGTCTGGACAGCAAGGTTGACTTTCATCTTCTGTTTCTGCCACTGAATGTGTGCCGCACGTAGTTTTGTTGCTGCATGCAGGCCTTCTTTTTCTTGAAGTTCTTGTAGCTGGACAATGTAGTCCCAGCTCACCGATGCGCCTGATGCGTCCCTGAGGCACCCAAGAGCAGAAAGAGCATTTCTAACTAACTTGACCATGTGACATGCGTCTAAAAGGCAGTACACCTTTTCTTGTGTTACAGGGTGAGGGAATGATGTTGACATCGCTGATGCATCTTCAACGGAAGCCCCCAGGTCTTTGAACATTGTAATTTTACAACGGAGACCATCACATGTCAATGATGTCACGTGTACTCCTGTCTCATGCAACTTTGTCAGACAGAGCTTCACAATGTTCGCACGCTCTTTTCCTGAAAGACTATTGATCAAAAAATAGCCACACGGTACCTTCCAGTGGGGGTCCAGAGATACGAGCATGAAAACAAGGGCTTCAGACGCAACTGCGTTACTGTCATCGTCCACTTCATTGCCAATATCCACGTAGCCTCGAAATTTTTTGCCGTCCCATTCAAGGTGCTTTCTAATGGCCATTTCATCAACAACAAGGTTGCAGAGAAGCTGTTTGTTGTTCTTCTTAGCCTCATTGGCTTTTGCTCGGATGGCGTTGATTGCTTCGCTTGTGAATCCAGGTTCTCCGTATAATGAAGCTATACCATTTAGTTATAGTCGATGGATGTGGCAAGGAACATTGAAATGTTTCTCTGACATAGTTATATGCCTTTGTCGAGTAAAACTGTAGCGTGAGTGCAAATGCACGCAGTGCAGGAGAATATTTGTCTCGGCTTAACTTAACAGACGACTTGTCGCCTTCACTGGATGTTTGCTTGAGCAACCGTTTCGTAACTTCCAAGGGGATCCCCGTGAAGCACCTTTCAAGCATTGCCGAGGCATCTTCTGAAATGAGCTGCTTGTGCTTGAGGTCATCAATTATTTCATTAAATGAGCTGACCTTCCTTCTTAACCGACGTTCTCGTTCAAGGCTGAGCTTCAGCTTTCTTTTCACTGTAGCCGCTGAATCTGTGCAAGCATCCAGTTTCCTCTTCAGTGTTTTTGGCGTGTCAAGGACTGCATAGCTGTGCTCGGCGACCTGAAAACAAAACAGTGAAAGTTAAAGCTGTTGAAAAAGACACCTTTCACAAAAACCATTAATCATATGACAGTCTTTGTAAAGCAGGCATCTGTTCGTAGCTTACGTGGTTTAACGCAGAAAATGAGCAACCAGGTGCACAGGGGAGTTTAGAAATTAACTTTGTCCCCTTCATTTACCGGTGCACTCGAGAAATGCCACATCAGACAGGAATTTCAATATTTTCCCTGGATTAGAAAAACTGGTGCTGCAGCCATGAATAAAACCAATGTTCTGCTATGACTACAGAACATACCAGGACTACTAACTTGATTCAAATTGGATGCTATCCTGGTGTGCATAATGTATACAAAGTTATCGTGTTGGTTACCACGAGATTGCAAGAAAGTGGCCTGACTAACATCGGACTAGTTACATTCAACCGAGGACGGACCAAGTAGCTGCACTCGGGCAGCGTAGTACAAAAAAAGGCAACTTGCATGGGCTGAGTTCTCTTGCACCGTGGTTGGAGTGTTGTCGTTTGGCTGTTCCACTGGGGTCACATCCACAATGGCAGTTCTCTGCTTAGGCGGCTTTCTCTCAGCAGTCCTCTGAAACAAACGTGTTTATTTCACAGTTATGCTTATTTATTACTGCGAGTGCAAAATGCTGTAAGTAAAAAAATATGCTGGCGTCAAGCATGTTATAGCGGTCTAGCAGTTTCTGAATTATACCACTAGCATCTTAGACAGCTATCATAGCACCACTGAGATATATAACGCAGATAGGACCATTTCAGAAATTGAAAGAAAAAACTGGGCACTTAAAATTCAAGACCTCGCGCTTTGTAACGTAATGGACATGTTTTTCCAATTCCGTTTCATTGCTTACAGTACACGGTTTTCAGAGTAAGTCTGCCAAACAATTCTTCAACCACAGCTTCTCACAGCTACATGTAGATTTTATTGTGCTCCGAGCTAATTTGTAGGGCGTCATTTTTAAAGGGACTCAGCAGATGAACTACGAAAGAAGGTAGCGCCCATTCAGGCGATTTCAGTGCCTAATAAACGTAGCATCAACTGTAGGGGTAGTTATACGAACGCTAAACGAGCAAACTGCGATAGCTGAACAGTATGCTTTTTTTTTTTCTGGGCCGCTATACCAAAATGCCGAGATGTCGTACTATACCTTTTCCAGGTGCTTCGGGAAAGAAAACAAGGTGGGCACGGCGTCAGGCTGTAGCCGAGTTCGTGCGCCCGTTCTGTCAAAACAGTTGTCAGTAAAGTGGTCACTGCAGAGTCTGCTACCTGGGGATGGAGTCCATTTGTCCCTTCTTAAGTTTACCACCCAACGCCGGTATAAATCCGGCTTAGAGCGTGGGAACCTGCGTAACAAGAGCCACAGCTTAACAACGACACTGATATGACGTTTGCGTTTCGCTGCGTATCACGCACGTCGCACAGAATATTGTAATACTTACAAGTGGAACGTCTTCCCAGACGACTTCTCTGGTCTGCTGGTGCAGTTGACGGCGCAACAAGCAGGCATTTTTAGCGGAATGCGCGCGAAACCAGCCCATACATAGCACGCGCTATGCTGGAACGGCGGCCATTTGTCCGACTTCCGGGACGAGTGCTCGAACTTCCGGCGGCCGCACGCCGGAGAGCTCGAAGCGCCATCCAGTACCCTAGTGGAGATCAGTGTAAGAGACGGCCGGCGCCCGCGATGCTAGGCCTACCTGTCGGAGTCGTGAATAATCAGCTGTTGCCGTGGTTAGGACGTGCTTGTCGTTCATGAATGCGATTTAATAATTATTTTGGGGGGGGGGGGAGCAACACGTGGCTATGTAATGTTGTTTGTTTTGAGCCTCATTACGCGGATACCAAGTCGTTCGACCCCGCATGCCGAGGCGCCGCAGGGGGGTGGAGCCTGCCGCTGATAGCTTCTCGCCCCCGTGTGTCCCAAAACGTCGCATGTGGCATGCCGCACCATGCGACGCCGCAAGCCGCATCGCACGGAAAATCGCACGTCTGTCTCGCGCTTAACGCGGCGGCTCCACCGACCAGCTGTGTTGCGGTGGCTAATAGGCATAGGCGCATAGGTATTAAGTGCTGCAAAAGTTGGGGAAATTGTCTAGATTTAGGTAATTTTTTAGGGTCATGTAGGAAGAACGGGTATACTGCCATTTTGAAGAAAAGTTTTCATGTTGCTTCTCAATACACATTTTTAAGTTTAGTTTGACATTTTTATCATGAAGTTTGTGTTCAAATGAGTACATTTACTTTTGTTTTTTCGCCATTTTTTCTAATGATGTCACATATTCACTCCCATCCTTGATTTTCTAAACATTTAGAGGCAGTTCCCTAAACCAAGGTATTTCACTGATCACAATGTATGGTTAATCAAGAGACGGCTAACAGTGTTGCCCTGCAAAATGCACAATTCCCGTCTATTTACCAAAATCAATAAGCCCTCACATTTATTGTTTAGCCTCCACCTCCACATATTACATGCTCACTGCCCGCAGTTTGCGCTGACAATGATACTTAATCGTGAGATACCCTATCATCCGGATATCATATGTATATCCGTATGCAGTAAGCTGTGCGCCTGCTATAGGTGGCTCGTACTATTGCAAACTTTCATCGATCATATTGACATGGCATTCAGCGTCACTATCACTAAACAGAATTCAGGTAGAAGAATATTTTACTATCTTAATTTGTACGGTAACTTCCTTGCGTTAGCATTTCGCACGATTGCGGCTGCCACCAAATTGAGCGGACTGGAGAAGAGGTGCCATCCATGAACACGCAGCTCAATTAGAGAAGCACATCGTTTACAAGTTCATCAAAAAATATTACTGATGCTATTCGGCATGAGAAGGTGTCCAAAAGGCCGCTATCATTGTTTAACTGCTCCGAAGAGCCTGTGCCCACAGCATGGTCAGTCGCAAGGATGGTACCGCTGTGGCGTGGTCACCTCTCAGTTTTACTTGTGCTCTTCGCGGCTTTCAACTTTGAAAAAACGTGGTTACATATCCCATTGCTGGTTTGCATTCACCTCCAACACAATAATCCGATGACCTATTAGCTTTGATGGGCTATTAGTCAAGTGCAGCGACACGTTAGTTGAGATTAGTCAGCAATTGTTACCTGACACTAAAAATCCTTGACAATGGTTTGATTTGGCAGCCCTTCTGTGGGGGGAGACGCCGTGTTAAACTTTTTGCTCGACCATCGAGGAGTATAGCCCTCGTGAAGTTTTCTAACAGAATCGGCAATGTACACAGTACTCGTCTTCAACAAAATTAGTCCAGCATGAAAGCAATATGAAGTATACTCGTCATACTTCCGTTTCTTGAAGCTGCATGGCCCCACTCGTATATGTTGTGACATTCAGGCCTTGCCTTTCATTTCATTTACATTATGTCGCGCAAGGCTACACTGGTCTAGGTTGAGTAATTTTGTGACTTGTCGAGAGCCGTGCTGCCCATACCCGAGGAGCAGTGACGCCACACGGTGCACAGCTGGTTCACCACGATGACCTGGAAGCTCCAGCTGTGACGTGTCACTAATTATATAGCTGGCACATGACTTACGAGAGTTTGCTGTCTAGTCCGTTCAGCCGTTAGTCTGTCCATAAAGTCCATCCGTCTATCGGTCCGCCCCTCTGTATATCTGTCTGGCCATTCGTCCACCCGTCTGTCTGTAGCTCAAACTACATTCATCCTGACATAGCCGAGCTAAGCCACTGCTAATTTTTCATTATAATATTATGCAGTGAAGCCACATTTAGATCATAATTTTTTCAACGCGATGAGTGAAATAAAGAAAAACCGTTGATGAATTTTTTTTACTATTTTACTCAGAAGAAATGAGCTCTAAAAATTGAGCGGGGAAAAGTTTCGTTGAGTTTTGGCGCTTTTTTTTTCTTTCGATCACTAAAAGTTTAGTACCAAAAACGCAGGAGCTGAGTATGTAGAATAGAACGCAAATATTAAAACTCCCGAAAAAAAGTGGCGCAAGCTGGCACGCAACACAAAGAGCATCCTACAAAAACGTGATACCGAGCACGAACATACTAATGTCCGATACACACACACCCATGCGTACACAAGCACGCGAGCATACACACTGGACTGGCGTTATGGCACATATACAACTGTTATGCGTAAATTGTTTGACATGATAACAATTGCAAGTGTATGCTATTTGCCAGAATTTTGATCGGACAATGTTACTTTACACCGCAGCCATATGAAAGACGTATCTCTCTCTCTCTCTCTCACACACACAGACACACACACACACACACACACACACACACACACCCGCACACACACACATGCACGCAAACGCACAGAAAGAGAAGAAAGAAAAACACCAAAATGCACACGAATGGCGCTATCAGCATTTAAAGAAGGACTGCAGGGAAGGCGTCTACCTCTGACCCACCTCCGCAGCCCATGTTAACTACAGAAATACTTCTTATGGCGTAAATGTAGCGCAAGAAAAAAAGACGACGACAAGACAGCGAACACCACAATTGCTTGGTGTTCACTTTCTTGTCGTAGTCTTTTTTGCGCTATATTTACGCCTTGTCGTAGTCTTTTTTGCGCTATATTTACGCCACAATTTATCAGTACCAACTCGCTCATGCACCTCTTCGTTTTTGCTTTGCAGCAGTATGCGTAGCAATATGCGTGCCGCTTAAAAATAACCTAACAACGTCATTATGTGTGCAGTGTGAATGAATGTGTTTTTATGCTATGAAATAGCAAAACGTCAATAGTGATAGCTCGCTCTTAACCAATGCATGAAGCCAAATGATTTTTCAGATATGAAAGAATACGGGATAATGCGATTATTATTATTATTATTATTATTATTATTATTATTATTATTATTATTATTATTATTATTATTATTATTATTTCATTTGTTTGCAAATGCATGCGAGTCTATTTTGATATGTTGACAGATTCCCATACTTTTCGTCTCCATGCTGTAGCAGTGCCCTTCCATAAAGTCCTATTGTGCTGTGCACCTGCGCTCAATATGTGACTCTTGTTCAGCTTTTGCGTTCAGCTCTGTTACAAGACAACGCATTTTCTTTCTGTGTACATCGAAGGTGCCTTGCATTTATTAGGTTATTCGAGAAACTCCTCCAGGCATTGTGAAAAGACACGTCTTCGGTCTTTTTTCATTGGCCGCTTGTGTAGCAGCCCTGAAAGGTAGGCTCCAGTATACGAGAATAACGCCTTTTTTTTTTCTTTTTCGTCGTGAGTATATGCTCATAAGATGCTCTCAGAAGGCGGCCAATACATCTTGTTTTCTATCTGTTTTAATTGTACTGGCATTGTGTCCGTCGATGCTGGAAGTATGCTTCAACTTGTTTACTGTATAGAGCATATTATGTAGAAAATGTAGAACTGTGTAGACACTGCAGCAAAGTCACAATAAACAACCATGTTGGTATATAGGAGCGCAAAACAGACAAGATACAAGGGAAGGACAACTTTCTCGTATCTTGTCATTTCTTCGTTCCTAAATATCAATTGGGATTAGTACAAACTCCACCAAATTTATGTCCTCATATAGCTAGCTAATTTGATTACTTTTGCACTGAGAAGCTGAGCGGAGTATCGCCTTTTGTGTGCGGTTGGTACTTCAGATCACCAATAAAGCCTACCAATATCTGCCTACTTCAGAGCTCAAATCTAAATATTGTGCACGCAGAGGGCTGGCAGCGAGAGCTGGACATCCGCTTAGGGCACAGTCGAACATTCACGAACATCTACGAACGATTCAGTTGAACATTCATACGCTTAGGGCACAGCAGGAACATTCGCGAAAACAGATTATCATGTTGGTTGAACACAGGCTTTGTTGGATTAGCTTTGTTACTTACTGCAGCAGAAGGTACATGATCGCCACAAATAACCTCATATTTGAGTGAAAACTGATTAGCCTTCGGTAAAATGAAAGAAGAATGCACCTGTTTATTGTTCACTTAACATCAAGCACCACATTGCAGTGGCCGCAATGATGAAGGTGGTACAAAAGCATTTACGAGCACTTTTTTTTTATCTAATATTCAAGTGAAGCAAGACTAAATGTTACAGTTTTTATAACTTGTCTGGAGACCTTATCACTATCAACATTATCTAAATCGTTATGGCCGCAAACATGGAGGTTTAGCAGTGGAAAGCGCCGTATTGATTTTATATTATTCCCTATTAATGCTTCGTAGAATTTTCATTCGGCAATAAATATCGCCCTACGGGCATTTTAGTATAATAGCATTCGAAATGAGTGCGTATATACTTATAGACACAGAAAGACAGAAGTCCTAAATGGGTTATTTTAAAATATATATGTTTCAGAAGCCATGTATTTCTCACTGTTTCAGTTCTTGTCTAGTCTCCAACCAATATGTAT